TTCCCATAAAAAAGAAACAGAAACCCTAGCTTTTGTCCCCTCTTTCCACCTCCCATCCACCCTTTGCCGCTGTAGCGAGCACCCTTTTACTACCGTGACTTCGTGACCATCGCGACCCTGTCGCCGTTGTAACCCAGCCATATTGTCGCACTGCCCGTCGTTGCGTCCGTTGCTTTGCCCCGCGGCCCGCCTCTTCTCTCCTCTGTCGATGAAGACAGAAAAGGACGGAGGAAATTATCAAAAAGTGCTAAACTTATTGTACTTCTACTAATTCAGTCCTAAAATTTTCAATTATGTTAATTGAGTCATAAACCTTTTGACAATTTGTCGGTCTAGTCCTTTCGGTTAATTTTGGGCGGAAATTATTGACATGGACACCGGCCATCTTACGTGACACGATCGGCGCTAACGTAAACAAGTTTTACAATTTTTAAAAATTTTTGAATTTTGAAAATTTGAAATTCTTTTCTTTTCTTTCTTTTTCATTTTCCTTCTTCCACCAACAGTTGCTAGGCCTTTGTGACAGTTGGCGACTGGCCATAGGCAAAGGCTAGCAAGGCTCGACCTCGCTGGGATCGAGCGAGCTCTAGCAAAACATTAATTTTTTTCTTTTCTTCTCTTTTCCTTCTTTTCTTCTTTTTTTACTTTTCTCTTCTTTTCTTTTCTTTTTTCTTTTTCTTTTTCCCTCCATCGGCCATTGCCGGGCCAGCGGAGGTTGCCGGCCTCAAGCGAGGACCGCCCTTGCCGGCCCAGGTGAGGATGACCCTCGCTTGAGGATAGGGAGGGCGGCCCTTGCTTGAGGCCGGCGGAGGTCTTTGGCCATCGACAAGGCCCGGTGATGGCTAGCAGAGGGAAAAAATAAAAAATAAAAAAGTAAAGAAGAGAAAAGTAAAGAAAGAAAAGAGAAGAACAGAAAAAAGGGAAAAATAAATAAACAACTCAATAAAAAATTTGAAAAAAGATTAAATATTATTAAAAATTATCTACGTTGGCGCTGATCTTGTAATGTAGGACGGCCTGCGTCCACATCAGCGATTTTCGTCTAAAGTTGGCCAGGTGGACTCAATTAGCATAAGTACAAAAGCTTTATGACTCAATTGACAAAAAAAATTAGGATTAAATTGTCACAATTGCAATAAATTTAGGACTTTTTAAATAATTTTCCCTATTTTGTTGAGTCAGTCAATGAAGCTTGATTCCGAAATTAATTATACAAGTTAATGCTCCTTCCCGATGTCCACATTGGAAATCTGACAAAAAGATTATGAATAAGCTTAATTAGGAAAATCTCAGTGAAAGAGCCTTCACATAGTTATTACCATCATTGAGGAAGAATCCTCATTAAGGGCGGTCCTCGCTTGAGGCCGGCGGAGGTCTTTGGCCATCGACAAGGCCCGGTGATGGCTAGCAGAGGGAAAAAATAAAAAATAAAAAAAGTAAAGAAGAGAAAAGTAAAGAAAGAAAAGAGAAGAACAGAAAAAAGGGAAAAATAAATAAACAACTCAATAAAAAATTGGAAAAAGATTAAATATTATTAAAAATTATCTACGTTAGCGCTGATCTTGTAATGTAGGACGGCCTGCGTCCACATCAGCGATTTTCGTTTAAAGTTGGCCAGGTGGACTCAATTGGCATAAGCACAAAAGCTTTATGACTCAGTTGACAAAAAAAAATTAGGATTAAATTGTCACAATTGCAATAAATTTAGGACTTTTTAAATAATTTTCCCTATTTTGTTGAGTCAGTCAATGAAGCTTGATTCCGAAATTAATTATACAAGTTAATGCTCCTTCCCGATGTCCACATTGGAAATCTGACAAAAAGATTATTAATAAGCTTAATTAGGAAAATCTCAGTGAAAGAGCCTTCACATAGTTATTACCATCATTGAGGAAGAATCCTCATTAAGGGCGGTCCTCGCTTGAGGCCGGCGGAGGTCTTTGGCCATCGACAAGGCCCGGTGATGGCTAGCAGAGGGAAAAAATAAAAAATAAAAAAAGTAAAGAAGAGAAAAGTAAAGAAAGAAAAGAGAAGAACAGAAAAAAGGGAAAAATAAATAAATAACTCAATAAAAAATTCGAAAAAAGATTAAATATTATTAAAAATTATCTAAGTTAGCGGTGATCTTGTAATGTAGGACGGCCTGCGTCCACATCAGCGATTTTCGTCTAAAGTTGGCAAGATTGACTCAATTGGCATAAGTGCAAAAGCTTTATGACTCAATTGACAAAAAAAAATTAGGATTAAATTGTCACAATTGCAATACATTTAGGACTTTTTAAATAATTTTCCCTATTTTGTTGAGTCAGTCAATGTAGCTTGATTCCGAAATTAATTATACAAGTTAATGCTCCTTCCCGATGTCCACATTGGAAATCTAACAAAAAGATTATTAATAAGCTTAATTAGGAAAAACTCAGTGAAAGAGCCTTCACATAGTTATTACCATCATTGAGGAAGAATCCTCATTAAGGGCGGTCCTCGCTTGAGGCCGGCGGAGGTCTTTGGCCATCGACAAGGCCCGGTGATGGCTAGCAGAGGGAAAAAATAAAAAATAAAAAAAGTAAAGAAGAGAAAAGTAAAGAAAGAAAAGAGAAGAACAGAAAAAAGGGAAAAATAAATAAATAACTCAATAAAAAATTCGAAAAAAGATTAAATATTATTAAAAATTATCTACGTTAGCGCTGATCTTGTAATGTAGGACGGCCTGCGTCCACATCAGCGATTTTCGTCTAAAGTTGGCAATATGGACTCAATTGGCATAAGTGCAAAAGCTTTATGACTCAATTGACAAAAAAAAATTAGGATTAAATTGTCACAATTGCAATAAATTTAGGACTTTTTAAATAATTTTCCCTATTTTGTTGAGTCAATCAATGAAGCTTGATTCCGAAATTAATTATACAAGTTAATGCTTCTTCCCGTTGTCCACATTGGAAATCTGACAAAAAGATTATTAATAAGCTTAATTACGAAAAACTCAGTGAAAGAGCCTTCACATAGTTATTACCATCATTGAGGAAGAATCCTCATTAAGGGCGGTCCTCGCTTGAGGCCGGCGGAGGTCTTTGGCCATCGACAAGGCCCGGTGATGGCTAGCAGAGGGAAAAAATAAAAAATAAAAAAAGTAAAGAAGAGAAAAGTAAAGAAAGAAAAGAGAAGAACAGAAAAAAAGGGAAAAAAAATAAATAACTCAATAAAAAATTCGAAAAAAGATTAAATATTATTAAAATTTATCTACGTTAGCGCTGATCTTGTAATGTAGGACGGCCTGTGTCCACATCAGCGATTTTCATTTAAAGTTGGCAAGATGGACTCAATTGGCATAAGTACAAAAGCTTTATGACTCAATTGACAAAAAAAAAAATTAAGATTAAATTGTCACAATTGCAATAAATTTAGGACTTTTTAAATAATTTTCCCTATTTTGTTGAGTCAGTCAATGAAGCTTGATTCCGAAATTAATTATACAAGTTAATGCTCCTTCCCGATGTCCACATTGGAAATCTGACAAAAAGATTATTAATAAGCTTAATTAGGAAAAACTCTGTGAAAGAGCCTTCACATAGTTATTACCATCACTGAGGAAGAATCCTCATTAAGGGCAGTCCTCGCTTGAGGCCGGCGGAGGTCTTTGGCCATCGACAAGGCCCGATGATGGCTAGCAGAGGGAAAAAATAAAAAATAAAAAAAGTAAAGAAGAGAAAAGTAAAGAAAGAAAAGAGAAGAACAGAAAAAAGTGGAAAAATAAATAAATAACTCAATAAAAAATTGGAAAAAAGATTAAATATTATTAAAAATTATCTACGTTAGCGGTGATCTTGTAATGTAGGACGACCTGCGTCCACATCAGCGATTTTCGTCTAAAGTTGGCAAGATTGACTCAATTGGCATAAGTGCAAAAGCTTTATAACTCAATTGACAAAAAAAAAATTAGGATTAAATTGTCACAATTGCAATACATTTAGGACTTTTTAAATAATTTTCCCTATTTTGTTGAGTCAGTCAATGAAGCTTGATTCCGAAATTAATTATACAAGTTAATGCTCCTTCCCGATGTCCACATTGGAAATCTGACAAAAAGATTATGAATAAGCTTAATTACGAAAAACTCAGTGAAAGAGCCTTCACATAGTTATTACCATCATTGAGGAAGAATCCTCATTAAGGGCGGTCCTCGCTTGAGGCCGGCGGAGGTCTTTGGCCATCGACAAGGCCCGGTGATGGCTAGCAGAGGAAAAAAATAAAAAATAAAAAAAATAAAGAAGAGAAAAGTAAAGAAAGAAAAGAGAAGAACAGAAAAAAGGGGAAAAATAAATAAATAACTCAATAAAAAATTGGAAAAAGATTAAATATTATTAAAAATTATCTACATTAGCGCTGATCTTGTAATGTAGGACGGCCTGCGTCCACATCATTGATTTTCGTCTAAAGTTGGCCAGATGGACTCAATTGGCATAAGTGCAAAAGCTTTATGACTCAATTGACAAAAAAAAAAATTAGGATTAAATTGTCACAATTGCAATAAATTTAGGACTTTTTAAATAATTTTCCCTATTTTGTTGAGTCAGTCAATGAAGCTTGATTCCGAAATTAATTATACAAGTTAATGCTCCTTCCCGATGTCCACATTGGAAATCTAACAAAATGATTATTAATAAGCTTAATTAGGAAAAACTCAGTGAAAGAGCCTTCACATAGTTATTACCATCACTGAGGAAGAATCCTCATTAAGTTTCTTCTCCAAATTCATCATCAAGACATGAAATAGGGATACATACATGAAAGATGCACCAGGAAGTGTTAGCTGTCTTTGTGATTAAGAACCCAACTATTGACCCTTTTTTGAATTATACAAGAATTCGAACACAAAAGACCCCAAGGAATTGCATAATCCATTGCTGGCAAATTTGCTATATAAGGTCATGACACTCTCTCATTTCATTGTCCTATTTAGTTTTGAATTCATCACAAAAAATTTTCTTTCATCTCCTCAGGCGATGACTCTTTCTTGGCTCTCTTTGATTATCCTTTTCGTTTCATCCGCAGCTCCCGTCTGTGCGCAGAAGTTCGATTTTCCAAGCCTGAGTTTACACCGTGAGAAAACCCTCCAAGATCCCAAACGCAGGGTTCCGGTACCCTTAACCAATGATTTCGAAACTTTCTTCTTCAACCAAACGCTCGATCACTTCAACTATCGACCCGAGAGCTACACCACCTTCAAACAACGGTACTTGATCAACTCCAAGTACTGGGGCGGTGCCAATTCTAGCGCTCCGATCTTCATTTACCTCGGTGCCGAAGAGCCGATCGAGAACGACCTAGAGGCGATCGGGTTTCTACCAGAGAACGCTGCTCAATTCAAAGCTTTATTAGTTTATATCGAGGTATCACATTTGGATTTGATCATCGTTTTTTTTGGGTCCATGCATGAACGGTTTGATCTATTTAGTCGTCTAATACGTAATTAGATTCGTTTTAATTTTGGTGAAATACTTTTCCCTGTTCAGCATCGGTACTATGGTACGTCAATCCCATTTGGTATGAGCTTGGAAGAAGCCCTTAAAGACCCTAATGCTCGTGGATACTTTACCTCGTCCCAAGCTTTGGCCGACTACGCAGCTATTATCAGATACATGAAGGAGGAGCTAAAGGCTAAAGATTGTCCTGTGATTGTCGTGGGAGGATCATACGGAGGAAGTAAGTAGAATTAGTGCGTATATATAGCCTACGAATATTAGTAGTGTCCACAAACCTATGGAATGTTTGATTGCTTTTCAAAAGTCCGTGCGATTTTAGGGAAAATTGTCCAAAATATCTTTAACCTATTGCACTTTTACCAATTTGATCTTAAACCTTTTAATTTTGCTAATTAAGTCATGAATCTTTTCACGTTTTGCTAATTAAGTCCATCTGATCAATTTTAGCCGGAAATCGCTGACGTCCTAACACCGACGTGGATAATCTTTATAATTTTTTAAAAATTTCGGAATTTTTATTTTTATTTTTTTCTTCTTTTTTCTTTCTTTCTTTCTTTTTCTTTTTTCCTTCCAAGCCTGGCAAGGGTTGGCCAACTCTCGCCTTTGGTAGGTGAGGGTTGACCGGCCCTCACCAGTGATGGGCGAGGACCGGCCAGCCCTTGCCGGACTTAAGAAAGAAAAAGAATAAAGAAAAAATTATAAAAAAATCAAATTTTTCTTAAAAAAATTATAAAAAATTATCAATGACAGCGCTGACTATTCTACGTGGCACTATCGGTGTCCATGTTAGCGATTTCTGGTTAAAATTGGCCAGATGGACTCAATTGGCAAAACGTGAAAAAGTTTAGGACTCAATTGGCACAATTGAAATATTTAAGATTGAATTGGCCAAAGTGCAATATTTTTAGGACTTTTTGGAAAATTTTCCCTACAACTTTATATTAGAATTGATAAAAAAGTTGATAGAACACTTATCAATACATTGTCAAAACATGTACATATATACAATTGAAGCTTCTCATGCATATAGGAAAAATTAAACACTCAATAATCTCTATATATAAGAGAAAAAAATGGGGTTTCGTCTCACCTATGTGGCACGCGCATAGCTACAACACCATTTTCAATTATGCCGGAACGATGAGCTGTTACTACCTTCATTGTCAAGGACTCAAGGAAAATAGGATTTTTTTTCAAGAAAGAAATGTAATTCATTCAATTTATCAAATTGTTGATGGCTAGCTTATGGGGATTTCAGTGCTTGCTTCGTGGTTCCGGCTAAAGTATCCGCATTTGGCCTTTGGAGCTCTGGCCTCGTCTGCTCCGATACTGTACTTTGACGGCATTACCCCACAGGATGGTTACTTTTCGGTAGTCACCAAGGACTTCATGGTAATCACACTCCTCCTAATCTTTTCTTTTCGTTCTAATAACGGATCGCCCAAGATTTTTCGGGTACCCAATTTGCATATCCATTAGATAAGGCAGTCTCCCACCGAAAGGTTGGTACAAAGAGAATGTGCTAGTGTGGTAATTTGAAAACAGGACTTTAGTGAGAAAGACGGATGCACATATCCCTCGAGCAATCTTTGGGACCTTAATGTTTCTTTTATAACTCGTGCTCTGCCTTGGATGGTTTACACAGGAAGCTAGCAAGACTTGCTACCAAACTATAAGGGACTCGTGGGCGGAGATCGATAGAGTTGCTTCTGAACCTGGTGGCCTCTTACGATTAAGTAAGATCTTCAAAACTTGTAGGTATGTCTTTATATGCATCGTTTATATATTATGTGTGTGACAATCTCACGACTAAGTGAGATCACACATATGTGCTACTTAACGACTTTTTTGGTCGCTCGAGTCGATAACGTGTCATCAATGTTCGAAGCTAAATTGACGTTTAACTAGCACTTGTTTTGAATGTTCTTTGGGTGACTTAGGCCTTTGGAGAGTGGGGATGAGCTGAAGAACTATCTGATATTACAGTACGCGGGAGCAGCTCAATATGATGATCCACCAACATATCCAGTGGAAGTAATGTGCAAAGGCATTGATGGAGGAAATACTTCTGAAACAAACATTCTTGAAAAAATATTTGCAGGCGTCGTTGCCTCGCATGGAAACTCCACATGCTACATCGCTCCTCCCACCGGCACTACCCCTTCTCAAACCAAGTTGGGTTGGGGGTGGCAGGTATATTACTCTACAGTTTCATTTGGTTTATTGAGTGAAGTGACAAATCGTTGGTTCTTCGATATGATCCATTTGCTTCAAGGAACTAACTTTTGTAAATCAAACATATATAGGTCAAACATTGCTCATTTTGACCATTAAAGACGATCACGGGTTTGTCTAGGCTATACAAATTTACGAAAAAAGTACTTTACAAAAAAGTATTTTGTGCAGGCTGTTTCATCATCTGTCGTAAGTATGTATTGCTTGCATTTTATATATCCTTAGGGTACGAGAAACTTGTACAACATTTACGTCCAAGTAGGATGAATTGAATACGCTCATCCCATAAACGATCTTTGTTTCCGCAATTATCATGGTCAGGAGATGTCCTAATGCAATTCTGTAATTAAATCGCCTCGTTTCGCTTGGACTGAAAGAGAGAGCTGTTTGCAGAGATGCAGCGAGATGATGATGGGCGTAGGCATTACCAACAATTCTATGTTTCAAGCAAATCCTTTCAACTTGAGCACCTTCAATGATCGATGCAACAGCTCGTATGGCGTCGTGCCTCGGCTGCATTGGATCACCACTTATTACGGCGGTCATGTATGATTTTCAGTGATTTTTCACAAAGATATGGCCTTGATATTTTGTCGTTAAATGAAATTGATATCCATGCATCTAAAGATCATTGAAAAACCTTCAAGTCTTTGCTGTTCACTTGTTTCTCTTGTTAAAAAATTGCAGGATATAGAACAGGTTCTTCGGAAGTTTGGCAGCAACATTATTTTCTCAAATGGACTTCGAGATCCTTACAGTAGTGGCGGGTATAGAAACTTCACAAATTTACTTGCAGAAGATTCGAAATTTCCATTTAGTTTGGTTTAACAATTTCTTTATTTTACTCAGGGTCCTCAAGAACATTTCAGACACTATCATCGCTATCTATACACAAAAAGGTATACATACTTTCACAATCTTGATTTAGTGGATAAATCAAGAGGTTATTCCATAACCAAGCATGTACCTATTTGCATTAGTTTCAGGTATATCAGATTCCTTTTTGTTTACAAAAAGTCGATATGAGTGCGCTGTAAGATCTAAATTAAGTGAAAAATAAAAGGTAAAAGCCAATTCAAACAATCCCCTAATATTGTGGCTACATATTATGCAGGTTCTCATTGTCTGGACATACTTGTAGCAGACCAAACTGATCCAAAATGGTTGGTCAGGCAACGAAAAATGGAGGTTGAGATTATAAAAGGGTGGATCACCAAGTATCATGCTGATCTACCGGCTTTCAAACAATGATACAAAGCCTTCATGCCCAAAAGTAGCCATTTCAATAAGAGATTAGAACAAACAGACGGGCTTGAGTCTTACCATAAGGTTGTACTTGTAACTTTTGGCTCCATTAACAGTGAACTTTATAAATGAAAAGAACTAGTTCACGCAATGTCATTTTTGTAGGTTATTTGATTCAGCGCGGAGCTTTACATAAAATAGCCTTTTCGTCATTATAAAAGAAAAATGGATAAGTGCATTAGAAGTCTTAGACTTATTGTGATAGTACAATTATGTCCTAAAATTTTCAAAAAATATAATTAAGTCATAAAACTTGTCACAAAAATGCAAATGACGAAAATGCAATTGAGTTCTAAAAGTTTTAAAAGTGCAATCAAGTCCTAAAACTAATCAAATTTGGTCCAAACAAGTCTTTCCGTTGATTAAATTTTTTAAAAGTTTTAGGATTCGATTGCACTTTCGCGATAAGTTGCATTTTTTGAAAGTTTTAGGATTCGATTACACTTTCCTGATAAATTTTAAGACTTTCAGTGCATTTATCCCAAAGAAAAATAAGCTGTAGCCAATTCCATTACAAAAAGATGAAGAAAAGCAAGCAAGCAAACTCTAGGACTTGTACGATCTAATAGTCAAGACTCAAGGTTGTGTTATGTTGCACGATCCATTTAGGACCATTTGTAACGAGGGAGGAATTCACCTCAAGTGGTCTATCATCTTTAATTTACCATTTTGAATCTTAATGGGATGACTTAAATTTTCATTATTCCCTAGTCGTCGACCACCTACATCCTTCAAAATTTTTCTTAAGTGTTTCTGAGAGCGAAAACCTTCGGCCAGGAGAACACGATTTGGATCGAAAGTCATCCGCAACCTAGATCATTATAGATTTTCAAAGTGTTCCTTAGTGCGAAAGAACTCAGCCACCACGAACCGATCTGAAATGAAAGCCATCGGCCACCCAAATCGTCGTAAATTTTCCAAGTGTTCCATAATTAGAAGCCTTCAGCCGCGCGGGGAACACGATTTGAACTGAATACCTTCAGCCACCAGATCCTTAAAACGTTTTCAAAGTGTTCCTAGTATCGAAAGCCTGCCGCATGGAAGGTAGTCTCGCGTACGCATCAAGAATCTACTCTATGAAAGGTGAATGACTCCAATTTTGCGTGAGCTGAGTTGTGAACACATCAGGAAAATGAAGTTTGAGAGGAAGTACCGGGATACGAACTCTCGACTTTTGCTCTGATACTATGTAAACAAACATTTTTTTTTCCTCAAAAGTATAGGTTATTAGGAACCGGGTTAACAATGTATTTATAGCATGTATCTCAGATAATGAGACTCCCATACTAAGTTGCATTGCGTGAGATTGTTTACGAGAAATGATTAGATAACTGACATTAATCTTCTATGAGATTAACAACTTATTCTGGATCACAAAAAATAAATAATAAATAATTAAAAATCGTTATGAGATCCATCCCTTTTAGGATTTGCGCCTCTCATCATATTATTATTCTCACAATCCCCCGAAACTATTATGCTAGTAGCAAAACTCATTGTTTATATCGGATTCGACATCCCATTATATTTTTGTTTCTTAAGAAACATAAGAAAGGCACTCGGTTTTGTCGAGTCGGTCAATGAAGCTCAATTCGGAAATTAATCATACAAGTCAATGATCCTTGTTGAAGTACCACAGTGAGAAATTGACAAAAAAGAATATTAACAAGCTTTCAGTTAGAAAAAAATTCAGATAAAGAGCCTTTTCACATAGTTACTTTACTACCATATCTGAGGAAGAGTCCGCATTAAATTTCCAAAAACACGAGCACAGGAGATCCCATGGAACAGTTGACCTCAAGAAATCGAATTGCACCATTGATTGCTGGAAGAATGCTGTATAAGGTCAGGACTCTCTAATTTCATTGTAATATTAAAGGTGTGTTTGTTTGAGTGAGCGAATTAATTTTCTAAACTTTTACGTATTTGGTTTGCTGAAAATAATCGGTCAATGAAGAATGATGCATGGTTAAAGAAAATATGCATATTTAAAATTAGGAAAATTAATTTCCTAACCGAAAAAGGGGAAAACATATTCCTTAAAAGTGATTTTTCAAAAAGGATTTTTTTAGGGTTAATACTACGAAAAATCCCAAACTGGTACACCTGTGACAAATTTATCTCGAACTAATTGTTTTATCACAAAAAATCTCAAACTGATATACTTGTGATAGAAATGCCTAAAATTATATATACTTTACTTTGAGCTTATTAAATTCGAGTTTGAAATCGAGTCCATCTATGTCTCTAATCACGACGAAGTCGAGTCAAGCTCGAATATTTAGATGTTTCGGTGCAGTCGCTCGAATATCTAGATTTTTTTAATGAATTCTTACGTGAATCTTGTCTCGCATAAGTTCATAAGGAAGGACGGCTCAATTCACCCCTAGCTCACCGGCCACTCAAATTTCTATTAGCCATTGGGAACTCGTCTTTCTTATGTTTCAATGTGAATTTTCCGAAAAATTTTCTTAGAATTTATTTTGCAAGCAAATAAGCGAAGCCTAAGTTTTTCACGCACACGCAATGTGTATACATTTTGCTAGTATGTGTCATATCAACATGGTAGAACAAAATAATCAAACTTTTTTCGCGCCAGTGGCGGGGCATCTTAGTAAAGATTGCAATCGGACGGGTTTCGGGATCTCATGTATTAAATGGACCGGGCTTTGCGAAGCCCATAAAAAAGTAACCAAACTCAAACTTAGGTATTCATTTTTCCCAATGAGCTATTCTATTTGACGATCCAACCATGGCCTCATCGCCGCCGTTAGCCGGCGGGCAAGTTCCGCCGTCGCCGCCGCCGCCGCCGATCCACCAGAGGGACGCCGACGAGGATGACGAGAACGTGAAGCAGCTCCGAGAGTGCTCTTCTCTATACCTTTCGTTGCAGGTACGTGTGTTCTGAAGAACCCTAAACCTCCCGGATGATTCCCTTCCGCTGCTTCTGGTGATGAAAATCCTACGTGGGTATCTTCAGGATTGTCTTGTCAACCACGACAGAAACTGGAAATCGTGTCAAAAAGGTACGCCGTAGATGGGATTGTCGCGAAATTTACGTTGATGAATTAGCGATGCATCTGATGACGGCGATTGTGCCTTTGTGTTGTTTGACATGGTCAATAGAAGTGCAAGCTCTCAAGGCGTGCAATGAGAAGAGGAGTGGCAGAGGAAGGAAATGAAGATTCGAGTGAGGTTGGACATTGAACCGCTCCGCTTGCTTTTGTGTTCTAAAGGGCTAAGAAATACTGACTACTGAATTGTGAACTGTGGGATTAGCAAGATTTTGTTTATCTTGTATTGATTGACCTTCAGGAAGCAGAAAGTTGACCTTTTTTTTGGGAATTCTTCCTGTATTGGATGTTTATTAGAGAAGTTAGTTAATTTGATTCCATTGATGGAGCAATAAGCACGGCTTGTGTATCTGGAATCGAGGGTCATGGTCGAATATTCTTGATTTTGTTCATATGACATCTGCCTGAAGAATTCGGCAAGCTGAGATCTTCCTCTTTGATAAACCCTTTGAGGCGGCTCCTGCAGTCTTTGCTTTCCCGCTGAAATCGGCGAGTAGAATCAGGCTATCCCATCTCATTATGCTTGATATGAATGAGATGTTGGAGTTGATGGTCCTTTTGATTTCTCCTTTTGTTTATCGGTTTTGGACTCTCAGATTTCTACTTAAGTTTTGATGTGGTGGCATTGGAAATTCGAAGTCACATGCCTTCCATCATAAAATGTATGATGCATCCATATGTCCACATTTGGCATTTATGTTATCGTTTTATGTTTAATAAAGAAGCAGGAGATATCAGAAAATTGATGGAGTTTAGTGCTGGAACTCCTAAAAAATAAGCCTCCTTCAAATATTGAGGATGAAACTCCTGGTGCATGTGGTGTCTGAAGGTGTGTCATCCGAATGCAGTCAGTTTTTCTTACAAAGTGAATATCTTGTACTGAATATCGATCCGTTCCTCCTCTGTTGAATGGGGACATACATGCGTATTCTCCTTGGTGGGATTCTTAGGCTTGCCCTTGTTGCTGTTCTACTGTAGATTGTTCAACTTTTTCTCTCTATTTATTGTCCCTCTTTTGCTTTGCTGCCTATAATACCTCTTTCTTTGCTTATCTCTAGTTTGAATACAGCTTGAAAATTATTTCGGAATCATGAGAGTTGTACCTTTAAGGGCCTTTATTGGTTAGACATTTTGTTAGGTGGATATCCTAAGATGATGACTCCAATATTGCATCTCAACGATGTGTTTGAAGCTGTTGCAAATCAAAAGATATGACCAGTTCATGGTTTAGCATATGAATTATTGGCTGAGGTTGAAGCTTCCCTTGGAAGGTCGCAGGGCTTGAAACCAGTAACATGAGGTTTAGGAAAATGTATGCGGCTTGTGAGCAGATCTTTGTTAAAACTGAGGAACGGATGATTGTAGAATATATTACTGTTCTCACATAAAGTCCGTTGTGTTTTTCTTTATTCCAGGAGATGAAGGAAGCCAATTTTTGTCCCTATTAATATCAACCATTTTACGGGTAGAGATCTTTGCGAGGTTATGCTCGGCCTGGTCCTCCAAATGAGCTTGATATGCAAATGCACATTGGTTTTTGTCTTAGTAGACCTGTGTGCTCATTGCTTGCCACTTTCACGAGTACAGATGCTGGAGTTTTATAGGCACTGGGCTACTGTGGTAACCAGAATTCAATAAAATTCACATCAAAGCTAAGCCAATTGTTGGTTATTCCTAATAGTGGCCACTGCATCCAATACTGTCTAACATACACCAGTGTAATCTCCCATTTACTCAAATGGAAAACCAAACGAAAAATCTGCCTTTACTCATCTTAGGTTAAGTACATGCCAGAATACAACATAATTTCGTTCTTTGTTGCAATAAGACACGATTAACGCAACAGTGGGAGTCGAGGGACTTGGTAATTACACTCCATTTTCCTGTTATCTCCAACAAGAAGTCCCATTTAGTCTTCCATTGTTGTCAAATTTCTGAGGATACGCCTGTTGTTCTCGAGGTTCATGAGGATTTCTCAGACACAAAGTTTATTGAAACAGTGTTGGCACAGTGCCGTCCGGCAATCGGAGTCAGAAGCACCTTGCCTTCGAAAACATGGCCCGAATGCCAACCACAAGCTGCATGCTTAATCTCAGTTGTTCTTCCATCTGGGTTCAGCTGTGAATCTGTTCTTTTTGTAGGTGCAATATTCAAAACATTGATTTTGACCAAAAACAATGTAGATGAAAGATCACATCACAGCACGATTGCTCTCGGTACACCCCCTAGATAGCTAGCCCGCTGCAACCGAACCAAACTTGGATGTGGACTTGTGAACTGGTGTGTCGCAACATTATAAAATACCTGCAAAGAACTTGTTCTAATTTTTTTTTTTATCAGGAATACCAGCAGGTATAGGATTTGACACTTGCTAGGAGGCAACTAGAGTCTGCAAAAAGAGTCTCGTGTGTCTTTTTTTTTACTTAATTTGAGAACTTAGCGATCCAATTCTCCCCATAAAAATCTGCGAAAAAGGGGGAATATGCTAGTCAATAGATGCTTTCTATGCAAAAGAGAATGTGAGACATCTCCTTTGTTGTCCTTGGACAAGAATGCTCTGCGCAGGTTAGCAGATTTGGAAAGAGCAAACAAGATAGCATTTGAAGGAAATGGTGTCTTCTGTTTTCGTAACTGTTGAAGCTGGTTCGACATACTTATAGAGTGGGAAATTACTTGGGATGAATGCATTGATTCACGTTGTAGTTGCTTAGTCTTCTGAATGAGTCGTTTTTTGGTGTTCTCAGCTCCTTTTGTCCATGGGTTTGCACTCCTTTGCGTTCTATAGTATCGAACAAATTTCATTGAACATCAACGTAGAAGTGTAGTCATGACCACCTTCACGAGCTTAATGCCCTTACCATGCTTTGGATAACCCGAGTGAGGCAGCAAGAGGCAGGCTGATTGGCCATGTCAAAATAGGTCCTTTGATCCTAAGTGCCACCTTCCATGTCGTGATTCTTTTGTGAAGGTCAGGCTGTATTCTCTGTCGCGGGAAGAAGTGGAAGGAGTTACGAGGAGGGAGCGCAAAAGAGGCTAAGACACGCTGTCTCATTCCAAAGATGCATGCTAACTTTTTAGGAATGCTCTCGCTTCTAATTTGTTTCGAAGGCGTGGTCTCTGAACAATATTCTCCAGTGAATTTTGATTAATCCCCCTGGAACCGGACGAATACTGCACTAAGCTCGAGTTATTTATCTTCAATTGAGGTCAATGGGCTGAGAAGACACTGTAGAATTCATTTTTGTACATGACATATTCTGCCTAAACCTCTTGTCACGGATTCACGGCATGCTTTTCCTTTGTAGTTAACCAAATGAAGGAGCTGTCACTCTTCCCTGGAAATTGCTTGCGCTTCTAGTCTAGGTTATGTGATCCATCTCCTGTCGATGGCGGTTGTGTTTCTCTTTAACCTGACCATGTCTTCGTTTTCTATCACCATCGATGAGAATAGAGTAGAAAATGTTAGACTTATGCCTAAGTTTCGACATGGCCATCCCTCAGTCGCACACAATTTGATTGCAAAAATCTCAAAAACATCTGATCTCCACGAACTGCGCTTGTTGTACTACAGTCTCAGACCGAATGAGGAAGCAGAGCATGAAGAAAAACTGATAAAGGCAAAGTGCTGGGATTCTCTTGCCGATGGTGTTTTCACTATTGGGGCATGTGACCGTGAAACTGTATAATTAGATAATTTGCCAACTCGTTAAGCCATTGTACACTGGGAGAAAATTAACAGCTCATTCTTTTAGATTTGGATGGGGGGATGCATGGCGTCATGTCTCATTGATGGGATCGTAGACTTGTTCTTACCGCTCTTCTCCTCTAAAGCAAGACATATGCATTATATGAGCAATGTGGTGAGCAAAGCCAATCAAGTAGTGTTCTTCAAAGAGTGCTATGTGGTCGTTACGTATTCGTAATATGTGATTTGCCTATCAGAATAAGTCCGGGCAATACTAACTTCCTCTGAAGCTTTGAATCAATCTTCTTTTGGGACGTCTCCAACCTATCTGGTTGCTCTTTTGCTTCGTTTCTCCATTCGATGTTGCCTAATTCTCTGTCTCTCTAGATTAGATACAAATTCAAAACAATCAATTTGCAGATCAGTAGTCGCACTTTTGAGGGCCAATAATGCTTAAGATGCTCAGTTAGGTGGAAGTTAGATGATTCGGAATCTCAGATGAAACAACTACTGAAACCAGAATTCAATCAGTTTCACAGCAAAGCCAAAGCGGAATCTTCAGTTTAATCTCCAGCTACTCCGCTCATCTGGACTATATCACAGAGAACACATTCTATGCAAAACCATAATGTCCTTTCATCACCCATAAGTAGGTCCCATATTTGCCTTCCATTATTCACTAAAATCCAAGCATAGTCTGTTCTCGAGTTTCACGAGGATTTCTCGGGTGCAAATTTGATTGAAACGCTGTTGACACAATGGCGTTCATCAGTCGGTGTCGAAAATCCCTCGCCTTTGAAAACATGGCCCAAGTGCCCGCCACAAGCTGCACATGTAATCTCAGTTCTTCTTCCATCTGGGTCCGGCTGAAAAACAGTTCTTGTTAGAGGTGCAATTGGCAACATTATTGACAACCACGACAAAGACTGAACCAAAGATTGAACTCACGGTGCGATTTATTGCACCAGGGAAACCCTCATAGAAAGCTGGCCAGCCACAGCCAGAATCAAACTTGGTGGTGGACTTGTAAAGCGGAGTCCCACATCCAGCACAGTCATAAACACCTTCAGCAAAGAACTTGTTGTACTCCCCCGTGCCTCGCAACCTGCACAAAAATCAAATCTAATCCTCGCAAACATACGGTATTCTCCAAATCTATCAATCTGTTCCAGATTTTTAATGAAAGACCACAAAAAAACATTCACTGATTACAGCCTGTGAAAGTCCTAACATAACAATTCACGAGTTCCCGTCATAGTGAGAGATAGCTTGTCGTGTCATAAAAGTTCCAGCTTGCTCGTGGGAAAAGAAGCATCGGTACCAAATTCAAATTGAAGATCCACTCTCACTGAATACGACCCAACTCGCTGAATCAGAACTCTAAAGCACAAGCGTAAGCAGCCTGTCTCTTGGGGTGCAGTAACTACTTGTACCCAGTAGAGCACCCAACAGATGTGTCTCAGCTCTGTTGTTTGATTGTACCGCAAGCAACAAAATTATATATAAAGACGTTCTGAATTTGCAAAGACAAGATCATCTGCTATATCAACTTAGATGCAGACTCACCATCTTATACAACTGAAACACTCCACCTTGACCCTTGTTCCTTTTTCATTCCCCAGAAACCTAAAATGTTACAAGCCTCGAAGATACATCACAAGCTTTTTTTCGGGTCTTTCGCAGTGTGTATAAACCAATAAAATATTCCACAATTCGAACTCACATTTCACTAATTTAGATTTCTCTGAGATCTGAAACTTTCAACTTCCACAAATGGACAACCATCTTCGCTTCTGTAATCATTCTAAAACCCAACTTCATCAGAGTCCGAGCTGTTGAAACAGTTTTGGTTCCATCAATCGACAGCACGCCGACCCACCACACTCCCACCTCCATTGAACAATCAAGAATCGATGAATCATCAAACAAAGGAACAAATAAGAAAATTCACAAACCCTGGAAGCCAAACCCCCCAAGAAAAAAACTTGGGAATTCGACCATTAAACAGGACGAGGCTGGAATCGACTCAATTCACCAGATAAACGAGCGATTTGCGCATAAGGAAAAAGAGAGAGATGGAGAACAATTACTCGGTGCCCTTTGCGCGGAGGATCCGAAACTGCTCGGGAGAAAGAACAGCTCTCCATTCCTCCTCCGTCTTTTCGATCTTACCAGTCGAAGCCATGTCTATATCGAGAGAGATCGAGAGACAGAACTGCTTGCTTCTTCTTTAGATAAGATTGGATCGTGCGTGGCTTCTATTATATGAATTGGAACTGAACAAGGGGAACGTGCGAACGTAGACGCTTTCAAGGAGAGGCCAAGTGAACGGGGACGTGAACCGGGGCAATATCCGGTGCAGGTTGTAATCTTTGTGGATTAGGTGAGTCGAAGGCTTTGACTTTTTTTTTTTTTTTTGGATATGTTGCATCTAAGGTTGTAAATACTTTATTTAGATCTCTAAGCGATTTTTGTTGTATATTCGAATTAGGTATTTTGTCGAAAAGCTTAATGAGAAAGTCAATGTAGATGTTAGGTGATAGTAGTGTCCTACACGCAGCAAGGTGGGGGGAGGGGCTACCGTTGGCACCGTTGAGCTCGCAAGGGAGGTGTTGGGGTCACCAAACGGTGTCGTGGGGCTCGGACTATGGCTAGGTTGCCTCACCGAGTGAGGTGGGGGCAAGAGGCGATGGCAACATGGGGTAAGGTGACAGTGGCGATGTGTGAGCATGAGCATCGCCGGAGCTAGACGTCGTCTCGTCCTTGTTCTTGCCAAAACAATTTTGAAAAGGGAAAAATTATCGGGAAATTATGATGAATACGTGTCTTTTATCAGAACGAGATGACATTACCTGAATATGGTAACTCCGATCCTAGGAGATAGCGACTATTGCGTCATGGTCACTATTTCTATAGACCCTCCGTCTGTGCGTGTGCACGTGAAGGTGCGCTTGTGTACATATGTGCACCGTGCAAACATGTGTGCTTTCTAAGCATAAGAAGTCATTGGCACCACATAAGTCACATTGACACCACATAAGAAGACATTATTAAAATGTACAATGGTTACTTATGATCGAGAAAAGTGGACAAGCAATGTTGCAATTTTAGTAAAGGTAGATGGATCATTGATAGTGTCGATATCTAAATTTTGATGACTCCATTTAATCGTTTTACTACATAAAAATTAGGGATCGACCATTACCCTAAACAAAGATAATATTAATTTGCATCTATATATTAGAAAAATTATAGTGATAAGCTCACATAAATTGCATTTTAATTGGACCGGTGCTGAATGGGTTTAAGCATGGAGACTTTGAGCTTAATAAAATTATTTGGACTAAGCCTACAAGAGCATGAAATTTGGCCAAGCCCATTGAAAATCCATACTGGCTGAAGATCACATGTAAGGTGCACATGGGGAGTGCTAAACTCGGTAAGCTTACATTCCCTAATCAAATTAAGGAACAAGGCATTTTGTGCTCAAAATTTCGGTCATAAGGGAGGGAATGGAGAGGCATCCTAATTTCCTATCTTAAATATATCACATAATCTCTTTGGTTCAATATTAGAAATTGATATCTTGAGAAGAGCCTTAAATCTAGGGGTGAGCAAAGGAACCACACTGAATTGGCCTACTCTGGACGGTTCACGGTTCCGACTGTGAATATCGGTTCAGTTCCCGATTTCACGTGTGGACCCATTCACTTGGATCGGACTGATATATATATATATATATATATATATATAAATGTTTCAAAACCCTAATTAGAGTGTTCCATCGAGCCTTCCTTAATCCCTCATTCACTTCACTCTCCCCTCACGTATTCACACTTGCTCTCGCAGCCTTGCTTCCTCATGAGTCACGACGCCCATCACTCCCTCTCCTGTAAGTCCTTAGTCCCTCTTCGGTTAGAGTGGTCTACATGAGAAATTAAGTAGATTTGTCATGTAGACTGTGTATTTGAAGTGAAGCTTTTGAACCATGGCAAACTCTCGTAGTGATTGTTGTGTTATGATTGTTGAAGTTTGTGGCAAACTCACAAGTGGTGAAGCTTGTGAATTTGCATGTATAGCCAATTTTAGACACGGCCAATTTTATGAACCCACCTGGGAACCGAACCGGATTTATGGTTCCGTTTCCGAGTGAATCCAAGTATCAGTGGGTGATTCCCGATTTTTAGTTTATGGAACTAGCCCTTCGTGGATGATTTCCAGTTCCAGGTTGAGAAGGGGGCCACCTTAAAACTGATAGTCCCTATTTAAATCTATACTTATATAAGCATTCTTTCCTCACAATAAAATATGGGGGGGGGTGTTGTTTCCCATATGAGGTTGGCAAAGGCTCACAACACATATACACGATATACACACGACGCTAAATATAAGGTGCTCTTTTCTCCTTAAGTTCACTGCTTACCCTTAGGCTGCTGCCACCGCACCCCACCACTCGATTAGCACCTCTGTCAAGTTTTGTTACACGCCACATGAACCGGCGAAGCACCTAGCAACCCCTCAGTGAATTCCATCACTATTGCAAGCTCCTAGACCTCCCATCACGGCCACCACTGTAAACCTTTGCGCCAACACAGCACCACCGTCGGCCAACAGATTAGGACGATCCCTCATCCCAACAACCAACGTCCTCCTAATGAAGCAGCCCAGCTCTTCGGCCCTTACTCATTAGCTTGGGATCATTGTCCTGACACCTCATGCACCACTATTGCACCTCATTGTCGTGCCTGGTGGAGCAACCAACAAGCCTTCGTCGTGCCAGTGTACTCCCTGTAGTGTCCTAAAAAAGTCTCAGCGTCCACCTGCATCACCGTTGACCCTGCAATAGCATCTAGCTCCTTTTGACGTGCTTGGCTAACTCCCGGCGCTCCAAGCCAGATCCTAGCAGCACTTGTGAGTCCCTCGACAGCTTCTTGTAGCGTTTTCTAGTAAGCACTATGTCACGTCCTGGCCAAGACCGTAACATGTGGTTTGCTTTGCGACATCCCGTTCATTATTATTTTTTCGTTACGAACAAGCGGATGCATGAAATCGGGACAATCAAAACAATCAAAATCAGAACAAACATCAGGATCAAGATAAGCATCATGAGCAAACCTTTTTACATGATAGCTTATATATACATTACAAGCCAAGCCTTTTTACATACCCTATCTTTTATGGGCCGATTCACACACATACATATACCCGCTATAACAACATGGTTGGGTTATGCTTAGCACCTCTACCGTAGTCATTCAGCCAAGCTCCAAAAAGGGTCTCCCAAAAGTTTCCTTCAAAACTTGCTCGGTCCCTCTTGAGCCGGAACCACTGCCTAGACTTCACTTGCGGCGTTCCCGGGTGCCGGCCCATTGGCACCACCGAAGGGACCATTGAACTCGCGGAGGGGCCCAAACAAACCTTTGCTCGTCCACATGTACTATGCTTCATACTTGTGGGGAACGGGATTCTCAAATCCCTCATCTACTAGGACTTGCGAGATCACCTTCCGGTAAGTACGACCCGTTTCCACATCTACCACATCCAAAGCATCAACTACGAGTTCTACAGGAACATCGAAACGCATTGGCAGAGCCGCCATCCTACAAGTCTAGGAAAAACAACAGGGAGTGACACTGACTTAGTAAGTAAATCCACTAATTTCAAGTGAGGAGGTACAAATCGTCGCCGGACCCGTGTCCGACCTTACCGCCCCAGGTTGTCACTAGCAGATCAATAGCAAAGGTATTTCTTACCTCGCCTATGTACTACTCATGGAGCACACAGTTGCCAAGAGAACATCAAGCATGGTATTTACATGATGCATGCAAAAATAGAACACACGAGATTCATTCATTCTTGACGGAAATCCACCAGTCCTTCCAAAATCCATTGGGCATCCGAAATCTATCGGGCAACGTCTCGAAATCCATCGTAGACGGCTTTAGTCTCACGTGTGTCCATGCGTTACAACCATCAAGCAATCCAATTCTTATCTTTCTTTTATAGCCATGCAAACAATAGTCCGAAAACATAAGTGCAAGTGCGATTCATGGACTTAACCGAAATTAACTATTATGTCGGCTACGGTCCAAGGCTCGTGACTTGATCCGATGCGCCAAGCGATAAACCAAACCAACTTAACTCGGATCCGATACGCCTCAATATTGAACCTTTGCCAAGCAAGTTTCGACCTATGCACCATAGCGTGCGTACAAGACATACGTTCCTTCTTTCGCGGCCGAGTCATGCATCAACTCGAACTTGTAGCATGCAAAGGACAAAATGACCAGCAAGCTTTATGCAAAGTCCAAGCACAAATCGGGTACAAACACTAGCCAACAATGCATTTCATCATCCTATCTCGGGATTAGGAAATCTATTTACACTACTCGACAAAAGCGAGATTTAGTAAGGACCAAGAAAGTGACGTGAGAAGAAGATGGTCATTGGCGTGACCAAGGGAGACGATGGCGTAAGGAAGAAGGGAGAGGAGCCGGACGGTGAGGTGGTGTGAAAGAGAGAGTGGGGTGAGAGTTGGTGGTGTGAGGAAAAAGGAGGCTAAGTGGGGACCAAGCCTATTTACAGTGGACCAAGCCTATTTATAGTGTGGTCCACTAATGGTCCTTAATGAAGATGGAGCCAAATTTAATAATGGAGGGCCCTAAAAGTCTAGGTTAATAATGAAGAGGTCTTGAAAGTCTTTGGCCATTATTAAGCTTCTTATTCAAGCCTTCAATTAAGGCTACTCATTTCCAACTTGATCTCCTAGGCATGAACATGGTGTGCCTATCTCAAGAGCACTCCATCATTGGGGTCCTTACTAGTTCTAATGGCACATCATTTCTTGGACACCCAAATTTTCACTAAAACTTGGCTTAGCAAGGAACTAAGGTAATTTTGTTAGTGGTCTGCCCTAAGAATCAATCAAGGTTGATACTCTAATATTATTTGTGGATTATGTTGTGTCGAAAAATCGACCTTCACTATACTTAGGTAGTCATAATGTCTTGTTATAGACCGCTTATGACTTGTGGGCCAAAAAAGGTTTTGAGCACACTACTAATGTTTAGTGAACCTACAAGGTCGCACACAATAGCGAACTGAGTTAATATTTTCTGTGTGCCGGGATCTACTTAAAATAAGAAGTAGATTTTAATTTATTCTCCTATTCAACTTATCTACGCGGTCGTGCACGTTATGAGATAACGATTAAACGTACGATTGAAGGTGGACATTTTGGCGAGCCCAAATCGCCCGGCCCCATTTCTTTTAATTCGCGTAGATAATGAGGCTATATATATAGCGTGTGGGTGATGAAAAAAAACCCTAAGAAAATACGAAGAGAATCGTTATCTGTTTAGAGATCTTTGAGAGAGTCTCGAAGATCAAA